AAGGGGCTTAAAATACTCTATATTTTATCGTCTTTTACACGTTATTTTTTGTTATTTATCTAAATAACACAAAAATAACTATAAGTTCATAATTAGTAGAAAGTGACTCTCCTTTGAATTAGTCTCAATCTTATAATTATAAAAATATATATATTATTCTTTTATAAGTCTCTCTTAATTCTTTAATGTAGTTTAACCAACGTAAGACTCATCAACCTGGGTTACTTTGGTAACTCGGCATGTTAATAAATCTTAAGTCATAAAACTATAAAACCATAATTTGTATAAAATATACATACATATTTAAATTTGGAAATTAATTGTAATTTAATATATATATATATAAACTATTTGTGTAATATATATATGTATACATAAATTGTTAGTATAATAATATATATATATATATAAATTGTCAGTGTAATAATATATTAATATATACATATATATAAACTATCAGTGTAATAATATATATAAACTGTTAGTGCAATAATGTATATATAAACTGTTAATACAATAATATATAAATAAACTATTAGAGCAATAATATATATATAAATAAACTATTAGTGTAAAATTATATATATAAATTGTTATTACAATAATATATATATATTAAGAGTTAGTATAATAATATATATATATAAATTGTTAGTAATAATATATATATAAACTGTTAGTAGAATTCTAAGATGTATGAATTCAATCTCGCTCTAATATCAAATGTAAGAAACTATTATGCCAAAGTCATTTGTTTATTAAATTCAACATATCTTAAGAAAAGAAAGACAGTAGAAAATTAGAGTTACATACCATTTTGAGATGATGCAGTCATAACGTGATTGAGAGACCAATTGAAAAAAATTCTTAATTCTCTGACTCACTTCTTTTCTCTATCTAACTATTATGCACAAAACTTTATAACTTTAGTTGATGAAAGACAACTTGAAAAGAGAATTTGTGCTCCTTTTACAGATGAGATGAGAGACCAAAACACATTTAAGGTAATTTAATGTGTTGATAACTGCTTCTATTATTATAGTTTAATACCCATAACATACAATAATTCTATAATTTATTTTAAGGTTACCCACTGTATGAAGTTAGCTTCATCTGTTAAAAGTAAATGAGAAAATAAAACATTAGGTTAGTGAGTTATCTACTTAATTGCTGAAATTAATAGTAGTAACATTTATATATCCATTTATATTTACGATACTATACAAAATACGAGACTGTAATTTTGAATAATTAAGTTACTCCAAGATTCATAATAATCTTAGAGATCTTGGCTCTTGGAGTTATTATAGCCTTAAAAACTTCCTCATGGTTTTAAGCCTATTCAGTCATGGTATATGAAAATGGTTATAACTTTATGAAACATAATCTTAGTAAGTAGTGAAAGTATAATTATAGCAACAATTAGTATGTAGTGTATTTATATCATAGTATATGCATTTAACAAAACACATAGGCATATATAATCTCAAACATAAACACTTGCACATTTCCAAAATCATCACTTTACAACATCGTACAATAACCCATTTCCACCATTATCATGGAGGGCACAACACTCCTTATCTATATGAGTCGGTACAATTAAAGTGATTGTCTAGATTTGATGGAAGGTCGAGGATGAGGAGCTATAGTCTACTTCAAAGGATTGGCAGAAGGCATTTGTAATGTCTTCTTGATTCGAAAACAATTTGTCTTCCTAATCTTTTATAACCCTAATATGGTCTCTTTAGCATCTAATGAGAGTGAGTAATCGAAAGATTTTATGTTGAGATTGTCATCAATTATCTACTTATTTCAAGATTTTTGGTCGCGAGCAAAGTTCTGCCTTTTGTTACAATTATTTAAAGATTTTGAATTAGTCGAACCTCCTACCTATATTGTATTTTGTTTTAACACAAATGATGGATAAAAAAGATGATATAAAAAGCATGTATTGAACTCACATAATTAAAATATTTATTTTAAGAACAATGAGTACAAGAACGATCTTTTAACTATATATGCCAGAGTGTCTAATGTATATTTTTTCTATCATATTGAGTTTCTTAAATATTTATCATGATATGAATTTAGATATCTAATAAATGATCTATAATTTTGTGCCTGGTACATCAGGTTGTAACTTTCTTTCTAATTCTTTAAGATAGTTAATGAAATTGTCTTATATCTTAAGTTTTAAAGGCTTGAATTTAATAAAATCGTGATTATTTAGAATTTAATATGTTGAAAAATCTATCACTTACAATAGTATAATGAATATTTTGAGAACACAATGATATAATAACAACCAGAACTCAACTATCTTTTTAAAAAATAAAACTTAATTAGTCAATTTAAATAAATCTCTTAAAATTTGTTCGTGATGGTGAGTCAACAAAAAATATTAACATAAAAAATAATTTAACTTAAAAAATTAAAAAAATTAATGTTTTAATTGAAATAGCAAACAATAAATACTCCAAATTTAATGCAGATTAAATAAATAATTAGGATTATGAAGGGAATCGATTTCTCTTTAAATGCGCTTGTTGGGTTTTTCAGGGCATTTCGCTTTTCAGCGGCTAGCAAAAAGCCAGGGAAGTTACAGAGTTTACGAGATTGAAAGCCATGGAGTCGCCATTCAAAGCGGACATATTAAGAGGGAAGGTCGCGCTGGTAACAGGAGGTGGTTCAGGGATTGGATTTGAGATATCAGCTCAGTTTGGTAAACATGGTGCCTCTGTTGCGATCATGGGTCGACGCAAGCAAGTTCTTGAAGCTGCTGTCTCTGCTCTTCAATCTCTTGGAATTCCGGTAGAAATTTCTACTTTACAACTGTTGTTTCCCCCTAAAAATAAGCTTTTGAATCATGAGAACAGGAGCTTGTATATAGTATTAGTTATTTATGTATTTGTTAAAAGATATAATTTATAAGTTGTTGGATATGATAAAATGATAAGAAAAGATAAGTTGTAGATAATCCGTAGATAATTTAGTTATCTATATTTTATAGATAAATTAATATAAAGTAGGAATTAATTACTAAAATTTGAAGTCAATTTAAATTTTTATTTCATGTTAATTTATGATTATTGACTTCATGTAATTATTGGTAATATTCAATTTACGTTATAAATAATTGAGAAAGATATATTATTGAAAAGATAAAATTATAAAAAAAAGGTAGTTGTTTAATGTGCTCAGTTGCAAAATGTTCAGATGTAATATCACTGTTATGAATTTGTTAAATGTGTATTTTATACTCTGAAACAACGTGTTTAATTAAGGATTGATATTAAAATTTTCAGAACTGTTATAAGGTAATAAGGTCTCTTGTTTTTTATCAATAACATCATTTTTTGGCGAACTTTTAAACTGTCTAAAATAAAATTTAGGGGCCTATAACTTTCTAAAAATGCTATTGTAAGAGTTTATAAGCTGTTAAACTTACAAGTTTTTGATTGTTTACCAAACATGTCAAAAGAACCCACAACCCAGTTAGAAAGTGTATAAGCTCCTGTTAACGAAAAATTGACTACATCAGACACCCTGTTGAAGTGTTCTTTACGCTACATTTCATGTGTTAATATGAAATTCAGAAGTGTTAGCAGGCATTGTTAATGGATGATGTCAATACTGTCCATGGATTATTATTGACGACTACTATTACAGTATTGTTCATAACCAAAATAGTTCAATAACTCCAAAGTAGGCAGGCAAGTCTCCTCCCAACATTTTGTACCTCAAGTGGAGTATGAGCATGGTGAATCTTATGAGCACGAGAATTAATGCTAAGTTTAAGGGAAGACTTGATGTTTCTCCTTGAAATTATGAAGAAACAAAGAAGTCTTTGACTATTAAAATGGAGGCTATCTGAAAACTAAATTAATGGATTAAGGGAGAAATTCTGGAATGTTTCTAAAGGTCTAATGCAAGAGTTCAAGAATGCTTCTAACTTGCAAGGCAAGCTTATAAGGATGTACAGCACTGTCATGCTGCATTTATATTGTGGTAATGGGGGAAATTAGGCCAAGCGAGGGTGGTGACTTCAGATTTTGGAGAACAAGCAGAAAGCACCAAGGAGTACAGTAGAAGAAGATCATGACAATAAAGAGTTTGCAATTGCTTTAGACTCATTCACTCAATGATGAATTTGCCAATGTCCGATGGTGGGAATGAAACTCAGGAGTAAGAAAAATTTTGGGAAAATGTCAGCAACTACTTTCTTATTTGTCAAAGAAAAA